GCGGCCCGCCAGGGACTGAGACCCGCAAGCAAGCGGGCAGAACCGCCCGTTGGTGTTGCCGATGGCCCTCTGGCTTGGCCTTTGTTGGGAATTTTTTTTCCTCCCAACAAGTTGGTTTTGAGATCCTTTGGAGACCTGGGACCGGGTCTTGAACCAGGGAAGGGAATAAATTATACACAATTCTTATACTCTCCTACCTTCTCTCTGCTTCTCTTTGTCTGTTCTCTCTTCCCTTGCTCCTTCTTCCTCTTCCTTTCCCTTTCTTCTCTCTTCTTTCTTTCTCCCTTTCTTGCTCTCCCCTTATTTACTCTGTCTCTGTTTCCCTTTATATTTCTGGCTTGTCATTTCTCTAGGTTTCTGTTTCTCTGTCTCTCTCTGATTGTCTCTCCTCTCCCCCAGCCTCACGTATCCTGGCCCTGGGTCTGTACCCCTCCTTCTTTTCCCTCCTGCCTGGCCTTCTGACCTCCACTGCCACCCCTGGATTTCCGGGGTTGCGGGTGGGAGGGGGAAAAGCAAAGGAAAGACAGCCTTTGAATCCAGGCCATCTCCAGAGGCCCTCCCAGAGGGGTCATTGGGGCTGCAGGTGTCAGCTTTGCCCTAGTAACTTCAGTGAAAGAGAAAGGGCAGCGGTGAGAAGGCCCCGCAGGCCCCCAGCCCTGCACTCTCCTCCTCCTCCCGGACTGTGACCACAGTGCTCCCGCCAGAGCCTGCCTCCCGAGCCTCCGACTTGCCGTCTGCCTGTTACGCCCTCATGTGAATGTTCTTCAGGAAATATTTCTGCTTTTATTTTATAATAAAATTAGAAATGATAAATATATATGGATATACACCACGAGGACCGTGAGCCCTGAGTGCAACAGTGTCTGATTTCCCTACAGGGACTGGACACTCCGGTGGGCCATTCTGCGCAGGATGCCCCACGAGTCCCAAAGCGGAGACACCTTCCCACATGCACAACGCGTATGAGTCGAGAACTCGGAAACCTCCTCCAAAGCCCTCTGTTCCTTTTCTGGTCCAGAAAGCTCCGTGAGAGCTGGGGGAGGGGCAGCCCACTCCTCCTGGGGACTCCTCTTCCCCCACAGGCCAAGCAGTGCCCTTTACCTCAGGGGAGGGAATGGGAGTCTGTGTGCGGAGCATGGGCACCTGTGTTGGGAAATACCAAGACTGGGAACAAATCGGGTCGTGGAGGTTTCCTGAAGGGGCGCGCTCCTTAGTGATGATCGCAGTCCCCAGAACCAGACCCGACCTGCCGGGCAGATTCACTGGCCCCAAGGGCAGCCGCTCATCCAGCCTTGAAGCCTGAGTCTTGTGTTGTGTGGCCAGAGAGCAAAGGCCTCCAAGCTCAGGAATCTGTCGTCTTGGAGTGGAGATGAAGGGGTGGGGAGGAGAGAAGTCAGAGGAGAGTCAGGGAGGCTGGCCGGGCAGGCAGGCCTAGCGAGTGTTCTAAATGGAAGCAAGAGGGTGCCTGGGCTTGGCTGGCCAGCTAGGGGTGCCTCTGTGGCTGTAAATTAACCTGCAGCCATCCCTCCCCTCTGGGGGATCGAGCCTCCTCCCCTCCTATAAAGCGACCTGTCTAGCCGGTCCTGGCGAAGCGGGCAGGATGTCCCTCCTAGAGGAAATCGATGCTTTTTAGGTCGCAGTTGCTGTAAATACCAAACATGTCCCACTTTAGCCACCTGGACAACGGGAAGGGGAAGGAAGGG